ACACACACACACACACACACACACACACACACACACACACACACACAGCATGAGCCAGTCGCTTCATTTACATAATTGATATTCACCCGCAACCCCCTCTCCTCACGCTCTATTTTTAGTCCTTTGGACTTTTAATGCTTGAAAGAATTGTCTGGGTCTCAAAATGTTGCATTCAGTTGCCTAGCAACAACGGTCTCCGGTGCTTTTCAGCTGGAGGCGGGGTCGCGCCGTCTCCATCTTGTTAAGCAGCGGAGGGATGAAAAGAGAGAAAGACAGCCTGGACGTTACCGTGCAATCCCCAAGATAATATCCCCCCCCCCCCGAGGCCCAGGCTTTTTAATCACACTACAGATTATGCAATCACTGTCAGGCGGCCCGCTGAGGAAGAGGGCGGCAACCTGAGCCCGGAGCTCGCTGCTGTGTCGTATATATACTACCTGTCCGGCCCTTTGTTCGCCCGCTTGCCTGCAGTGTATTACTACAGTGAGGTATCCACCCGCAGTACGCTTGTGTCTCTGTAAGAGATAATGAGGGAGATCTGTTTGCAGCCAGGAACTCAATAAAGGTTAAGTGTGTTATCGGGTAGCACAACACAAATTGCTGAATAGAGCAAATGGAGCACTGGTAGAGACACGGAGTCTCATTTTCTCTCTCAAGGGTGGAATAAAAAAAAAAAAAACACTTGGAATTTACTCCAAGTGCCAGACCAAATTGTCACAGAGTCCGTGTTCGTGAACCTGTCAAATGTAAGCTCTCCGAATATATAACCAAAGAATAACTTGTGACGCCACCAAGCAGTGGAATCATTTTTCCAGATAAGATTATCAGGAGCTAGAACTGTTCATCATATACCTATTAAAGATTTAAAAAGAAGAAAAAAAAGATTAACAAAGGCTTAGAGATTTGAGGTTTGGTGATAAGAAGTTAATGAAGTCAAGGCTACACTTAAATAAACAATTGTATGTACTGTTTAGTAAAACTACTTTTAAGTCAAACCTTTCATACGGAAGAACAGCCGGTGCCAGATGTACGTTATGCAAACATTTTGCAAAAAAATTAGCATTCCCTGACATGATGATCTTTCCCCAACTGCTGTGACAAACAACATACTGTATATTTGAAAAGTGCTGACAAGTCTCTACGAGTTCGTCTCAGTGATGTCACGAAAGCCCGTTTCACATAAAATCATTCATCGTGTGCAGGTTGTTTTTCAGGTTGCACACCCTCAGTAGGCAGATTATATTTAAGGTGGTAATTAAGGGTGTGCTCTGGACAGGTCATTTGCATGGTATATTATTAGCAAAACTTGATTTGCATAAATTTCTCTGAGAATACAATAACCGTGCAGTTGGCACACAATACAACGTTGTGACTGCCAGCCTCATATTAGCATGCAAATGATGTCTGTCAGTAAGGCAAAAGATATTTTATTGTGCAGCTGTGTTATTTTATCTGTGCTATTCTCCTCACACAACAATAAAGAGACTTCTTCTCCGATTTGAATTATTAATAATAACAATGTCAGCTTTGATGAATGCGGCTCATGTCAGCCAGCGAGCTAATCAGCCTGGGAACCAGAGAAAAAGAGCTCTCCTTATGGCTGTCGATCGGCGGCATGTCTCAGCGATGATAAGGAGCCGTTTGAATCTGTGCAGACTCTTCAGGGTGCAGCCAGACTCAGGGAGCAATGGAAGGTAACGCTGGCGCCTGCTGAAGACAGACTATCTTAGAAAATCTAATCTGACTTTCACTCTGGCAGCCTCCTCTTGTGCGCTCCGTCCATCTCCTCGAGTCTGTCGGTGCGCAAGCTTGACACCGACTACACACTCCTGACAACTGACACAATGCCGCATGACCTTTCAGTTCACCTGCAGGGTAGGGGCAGAAATCTCTGGTACACGCCGCCTTTCTTGATTACCCACATACACATGTTAGCGTCGCTAAACTTCTTTGGACTCCCTGCATTTTCAAAAAAACAAAGTGTCCAAATGATCTCATTTACCAACGCAAACCATGCAGCTATCATGGTCTTGTGTTTGTAATTCCGAATACTGTAAACGCTCATTTAGGCATGGGTAATGATATTATGTACCGTCAGGTGTTTCTATTATTTTGTCCACCCAATTATTATTTCTTAATGTTGAGAAAATGTAAAATATCACAAACACATCAGTTTCTTCACACACCGTGGTGAAGACGTTATCCATACCCCCCCCCTACACTGAATGCTAAGTGTCGCCGTTTATCCAGGTGAAGAAGAGTGACTCACCTGCTCGAGGCTGATCCACGCTCTGGTTGTCCGACTTCTCCTCCATCAGCCGGCGAGTCCATCGCAGCTCCCCACCGTTCACGCCTGGCCGAAACCCAGAATCTGTCTCTGTTACAAAACAACACCAGAGCCATTTTAGTGCAAAGACGACCTCACACAGTCCAAGACCTACCCCTCTGTGCTGTGAGTTATGGACAGACGGTGGTTTTCATTGTTAGCTATTCTTTAGTTTGTTTAATTGTTTAGTCAATTAAATGTAGAGCTGAAACAATCAGTTGATAAACATATCTTTGTCCATATTGAAGAAAACTGTCAAAACTATCAAATTTGGCTTTCGATCATTTTCACTATTGTCCCAAAAATGAATCAGTTATTCAATACAATAAGTTGCAGAACTAATCAAACATTTTAAAAGTCCATCACAGTTTCAAGAGTCCAAGGTTCTGTCTCGTTATGTCCGATCAAAAGTACAAAACCCCAAAAGCAGCAAATCCTCAAATGTCAGAAATTGGAGTTCATTGTTTTTTTTGGTTTAATAACCGACTTAAAATCATTAATCGTCTGTCAAAACTGATCAACTAATCAATCCATCCAGCTGTACTTTGATTTTTTTTACAGCCAGTAGCCGTTTGCAAATCACAAAAAACTTAATATTTTCAAAGAACCTCTGACTGAAGTTCAATAAACAAAGTATGGATTTCATAGTGACTGTCTCCAGAGTGTACTTGTGTCAAACAACAACTCAACAGCCTCTAGTTTCATGTTTCTGGCTCGAGGAGATAGCAGCACGTTCAGCGATTCATTGCCTGCTCCCGTCAGCTGTCCCGAGCCATCAGCACTGAAATCTTTATGGTGTTTATTTCAGCTCAATAGCTATTCTCTGCGTGGCTTTCAGTATTTACTACGCCGACAGGCGAGGAACTCCCCACAGATATATCTCACTCATCTCTCCTACGGGGGGAAAAAAAACCACCACCACCCACAGAGATCTTTCCCCTATTGCAGAGAAGATAGTGAGTCGGTTATTATTACACTTTGTACTACGAACTGTCCTTTTATTTACAAGGCAGCATGGTGTCTGTGTCTGATGCATTTTCTGATTGCCAGGCGATGGCGAGTCCCTTTGTACCTTTCAGCTCAATGAGCCCATTTCACGAGGGCAGCGGTCACGGCTGAGAGCAGACGTGAAGGCTTTCATGTCGAGGCATCAAGAGGAGCTCGACTCGTATGAAATTCAAATGGGTTTCTGCCACAGATGGCTCTGCACCATTTTCCCACCTATCGCTGGGAGAAATCTTTAGCACCTAAACCCCATCGTGTCTCATTAGAAAGAGGAGAGATGGATGGATAAAAACTGGATGCTGATTCTAGTTCTTTCACAGATTCAGATTTTATTAACTCAAGACTTATCCAACAACATGTAAATCAAAACAATTGCTAAAATGGTCTGTTGATTAGAAGTAAATGATAGAAAATCATTAATAATGATTAATTGTACAAGTCATTTTGCCAAAATGACAAACATTGTCTGGTTACAGCTTCTCATATGTGAAGTTTTGCAGTGTTTTTTCTGTTTCATTGTAACATTGTGGATTAGGGATTGTGTTCGCGAACAAAAATAAAGCAAATTCAAGCTTTGAATCACATTGGGCTCTGGGAACTTGTGGTTATAGTCGAGTGACGTATACCCGAGCAGAGAATTATGTCACACTCCCTCTCTGTGTGTTGTAATCCTAACACTGTTTACTCCGACAGCACATTTGCCTTCATTTGTACCGTTAGCGCCGTGAGCACCGTTAGCCAGCTCAGGAGTCGCCATGTTGAGAGCCGTTGAGAGCCAATCGAAATGCTCCCAATCTGGTGTCTTGCACTTCTTAAAAATACTTTCAAGTCCTTATTCTCTATGCTTGCCTGCGTGAATTAAATCTAAATGTGATGCTTTGTCTCCCAGACGATCGTCATTCTGAAAGTTAGATCGACTCTCTTGATTCCTTTCCAAGCGTGGAAGTTATGTGGAGTTTGTATGGAAATATCTTAATGCTGCCGTCACATGCCTCAACATAAACACGTTGGTTGAGTGCAGCATGGTAAGTGTAAATACCATCATTCATTCCTCTCTCTCTACACAACAGTATAATTATGCAGACTTATGGGAACCTCCGAGCCACATGCTTATTTTGTGACATTTATGATTTTGTCGTAAGGCAGCAAATAATTCAAAATGCAAGAACTCATCTTGTTGCAACACATGATGAACACAGATCAAATGGTGTCAGTGCTGTACATTATTATACAGCACCTATTTCTTTCATAAAAGGGCCTGGAAGACCAACTCTTCATTTATAACATGAATGTCTTAAACCATACACCGTCACCTGCTCTCCTCAGAAGGGACAAAGCAGTGTTGCCTCCCTCTTCAGCAGAAACAAGACATTTGATCCCGTCAATAACACATCGACTGGAAAGACCGGCTTCCTGAGGTCTTACCCCAAACACTGCCTCCACAGGACAGGACTGCATGTCGGTGTCAGTAAATGTCTCGGACCGTAAAATCCTCAACAGTGGCAATGCGGATCAGCATTTGCTGCCTCTGAAACCTGAGTCTATGGATATTACGTGACAAAAAATAATATTTGTATTTCAGCCCGACACTGATATTCAGACGGAACATTTAGGAAGCGTCATGTTGCAGTAAACAGAGAGCTGATGAAAATTTGATTTGGTCTTAAAATGGAGCTTAACCAGTTCTATAAATATCTTGATATGTCGATGTAAATATGTACACGTAATGTATTTATCTATTTGTTTTTCCTGATTGTCATGTAATAATAAGTGCTACAGTTGACACAAGCTCTGCCATGATGCTATTAATATACGATCCACTTCCTACTTTGTACGGTTCTTAATTATTTAGTGACAATTTCCCTTTTTGGAAACGGCTACCATGGCTCCATTCAACACTACAACTTTCATGTAACAAAGTTCCCAATTATTCTGGTGGCATTAGAATGTTGTCTTTGTAGAAAAATGAGTCAAATTGATACAATGTGTCTTCTACCCGGCGTCAGAAATATTCTAATTCTACAAAAAGTGACTTTACAAGCAACTATGATAAACATGTTTGTACTACTAATATATCACATGACAACTAGCATGTGAAACCTACAGAGAACAATACGCCAACGCTGCTGTTCCCCTCAGCTCTACGGACCATTTTAGCGTGTTTAAGTTTAAGCTAGTGTAATTGTTTTCCAGCCCACGACTCCAAAGGATGCTATTCTGATGTTGCTTTGTTGGATGGGTACATAAGCAACAGTTTATATACACGATAGCTATATCAACTTTAAAAGATGATATGTCCGTTTATTTCCACAGCCCCCCCGAGTGACCCAAACATTTTATTTATTGCAGGTTCAATATCTGCTTAACTGTTCAAAAGCTAGTCGTTTTTGCTGTAATGGAAACTGTTTTGTGTGAGCCACACAACCATCAAACCTTTTCAATCAACACTGAACTTAAAGTCTGTCCAGTGTGTTTTCAGACATAACATGGGACACACAGGGGATCGTTATGTGTCAGCTGTTAAGACGCACTGCTGCTGTGATTTATAAATGTTTGTAAAGGAATCCACCACCTGCATGTGCAGACGAGGGACAGCCATGTTAGATATAGAACGTCGTCTAGCGAAGCTTGAAATGTTCAGTTACGAATCAATTCCACACGTTTGCAAACATGGAAAATAGTCGGTCATCTTCAGCAAAGAAATGTGTTGAATGTATTAATTGCTTCAAACAATGTTTGTTGCCTCTGCAAAATCATTCTTCCTGGAGACTTTACAACTCCAACATAATACATACATTTTTCATCGAGCCGGTGGCGTTATTGTAAATCATTTTTCCGATATCCAAACCGATGTTTTTGTCAGAATTGGAACGATATTGATACAGACTGTTGGATAAGCACATCCAGAGATGGTTGTACTAGCCGTGGTATTCAGGATGATACAGTATGTGTGGTATTCAGGATGATACAGTATGTGTGGTATTCAGGATGATACAGTATGTGTGGTATTCAGGATGATACAGTATGTGTGGTATTTTCCAAGCATTGCGAGAGTAACCTGCCTGTGGCCATTACAAACAGCAGACCTTGCCCCGTGCTTTTATATGGTTTAAGTTGAGCTGCCTTGATCTCAGCTCAAAAAACCTCTTCTGGTTGTTGGCACACACTCATAATTTAAAGGTGAAGTATAAATATTAATGACACGGCTCATTCACCAGGACACTCTTTCATGGAGGAGCGGGCTGCAACACTAAGGGTGAACCCTAAATGTAAATCAAACACACAAAGTTCACTCATTCATATCGTTACAACGCACACAGGATTAGAGAGAATGACGCGGTCGGTGCTGAAGCTGCTGATGATGATGAGTGTGTGTGTGTGTGTGTGTGTGTGTGTGAGAGTGTGTGTGTGACAGAGTGTGACCACTTCAGCAAAGGTGATGAGAGGATCATGAGCGAGGGGGGAGATTGCCTTTAGGTGCACTGCTGCAAATGAGACATTGCAAAATCTATGGAAGAACCACGCTCTAACCACTTATGGATACGGATGTGACTGGGAACGTTAAATAATGTGATAAAGGCTGATGATTTTAACGTTTTAAATGAGAGTAACTGTAAACAATCCAAGACAAATACAATAAATGTACCAATCAAGTATCTACATTTAACCACAACTTATTTAGCCAAATGAAAAAGACATTCTCAGCAACAGTGACAACCTGGGAAAAGGCAGAAATTAAAAAGGACAGGCAGACTATTAAGAAATGCATCATATTCTGCTGAGATTAGGATAAAATAACCATGGTCAATCTGCAATAACCCATAACCGAACTGATCCCCAGTGATTGGATTTATACATGCCACAGCCTCTGTCTGCTTTATGTAATCAACAAACTGTCACCTTCCTGTGTTGTAAGCTGGGAGACGGTGAGCAGAACATGTTGGAAACTACTAAACTCAGATTTAAATATTTAGAACAGCGATTCAGCCGTCTGGCATGCAGCACTGTTCGTTTACTTTAAAGACAATATTTTGCCTTAAAAATGTCACACGGCTGGAGAGTAATCTTTATCAACTTCTACAACTGCATTCTTTCTTCAGGCAATTTAAACGTTATAATAATGTCTATTTTAACTGATGGAGAATGCAGCACCTGTCTACAGTAGAATTTCTAAACCAGCATACACTGCATACATGTAATATTCATATTTTGATCGACATAAAAGAAGACTTTTAGATCCATGGATAAGAGGAGGGGGGGGAAGGGGAAGTATATTGGATCTTTGCTCCAAATGAAGATAAAGTATTACATACATGCCCTGAATACCGGTATTATGCAGCATTTTCTACTAGTTAGCTCTTTATTGAGACAATAATAGATTTATATGGATCTGTTTTGTAACGTGTTAGAGTAAAATGTATTTTACCATTTTTTTTTCCTTTTGATTGGATCTTTTTATGTTTTTATTCTAAATCTAACTTTAGGTCTAGCATCGATCTAAAATGTGGGCTCCTATCCAAACGTCTATAAAATGTCCACAAATGTCTATAAATTCATATAAAAATCAACTGATTTATAGTGTGCACCCTGTATGTTTTAGATTATGTTTTCACATATTGATGTAATACCAATTTTCAAGTGTGAATCTAAGAATACCCATAGGACTGTAATTATAGTGCAGGCGCGTGCAGTCTGTGTGTCTATATTAAGGTCTCACCTGGTGCCTGGATGACCTGTGCGAGCCAAATGACGGCGACCAGCCCGACTCCACAGCAGCAGAACCGCTGGAAGGGCCGCCGGTGCCTCGCTGCTGCTCTCATTCTTTAGACGGCCGCATTTCCACCGAAAACATCTGTTGCTCTCTTCCTGACACTTGTTTCACACTTTCTCTGCAAACAAACAGCTCCAGCAGCAGCAAACGCCAAGTCTGCCAAGTTGTGTCAAAAAACAATACAGAAAATCCCCTCAATCACAAGCCCGGTTCCCCTCTCCGGACTCAGAGCAGACGCTGCGCTGGCTCACTCCGCCAAACCTCCGGGTCGAACATAGCGAGCGAACGCGTTAAAAAAAAAAGCTTTCTGCGTTCATGTGAACGGTCTGAAAGGTCGACAACAGATCCCACAGTGAGGCGCAGCAACAGGAGGCGACATGCTCTTGAGCTCCGTGAGCCTTCAGTCTCTCTCTCTCTCTCTCTCTCTCTCTCTCTCTCTCTCCGCTCACGGTGTAGTTCACACATGTGGCCACCAGGCGGCGACAAACTCAAGGACGCTTTTTTCTCTGAGGAAATGGGACAGAAATGCCCGTTTGAGCTGACGGACCCCTGATGAGATGCGAACTCCCAAGCACTAAAAACACGCGCACACTCACTATGAGTAGCTTTGGCCAGTGGTGCCATTTGCTGGCCCAACACTGCACTGAATGTTCCACCTGAAAGACGCTTGATTAGCTAAACACACCTGATCCCGCTGATGAAGTGTGAACGGAGCAAGGAAAGGTGGACTGGAACTCATCGTTAACTCCAATAAAGTATTTCAACTCTCATTAGCAGACGAAAGTCTGGCTGCATTTGCATTAGTGTTTCTAACCGGAACCATGTCAAGTGCATTTATCTCCTCGTTAAACATTAGAGAAGCGGAACGGCATTCTTCTTCACTGCCTTTTGGCTTTCTCTGCGTATTACCGCCACCAACTGTCGATCAGCGGAATAGCGTGTCGAGCATTTAGTCTGACTCTGATTTAATAGTTTTACACCAGTACCAGACAGTGTTACAGTATGGCCCAGGACTTACCCGATAGCATCGTGATTTAATATAGATTGGGAAAGGGTGATGAAGTAAACTCATAGTACAGTAAGAATCAGTGCTTTTGTTTTGGTTGAGATTGTCTGAGAGGACAGAAAAAGGGACAGTTTGAAAGGTAGTTTTGCCACTAATACTCTACAAGTGATTTCTCTTAGTTTTTTCCTTTTCCTTGTCTTCTTTCTTCATCTCCAGCTCTTGAATTATTACTAAATAAAAATGATAAAAGTGAGGTGTCTGTTTGGGGGAAACACAGACTTGTCACATGGAGACCTTCCAGAAACCGAGTGAAGATGAAGAAAAACTGCCGCAGCACTGTCTGCTAATAATCCACCCAGCCAGATTCCCAGAAAGTACAAAAACGTACACAAACCTTTTTTGTGTAAAAGTGCATGTACTGTACGATAGAAGTGTGTCTGGTTAATGTCTAAGGCCGTTTAAAAGACCTTCACTTCAGTGAAATGACATTAAAAAAGTGAAAGCAGCCCCATTCAACGTCAGTGGGTCTACAGTGTCCTGGTGTTTTTCCATTCTTTAATGTTTAACTGATTTATGACAAGAGGGCAGGACTCTGTGATGAGTTTATCATTGACTTACACACATGGTGTTATAAGAGGTGCATCACTTAGTAACAGCTCACGTGCTTTACTAAACTTTTTTTACTTTAGGTTGAAATGTTTTGAACGGCTAATTTAATTCCATGTTAGTCTGGATGCATAAACTATTGGATGCATTTGTAAACATTAGGAGACCACTTAAATCAAATATGTATCAGTTGTTTGTATCTGTAGATGCGTAGTATTAATAAAAGCTATTTAATCTGAATCGTATCAAATATGTTTAGTACATTTAAAGCAGTGACGCTGTAGGCGGACTAATATTAGGCCTCATCTACTTGTTGTATGGGGCAACAGTGGCCTGGCCATTTAAAATACGATGTACACTCTGTGAACCAGGAGTCTAAAAACACACACACACACACACACACACACACACACACACACACACACACACCAACACATGGCCTCTGTATTTACAGAACACGGATGAGTCAAACTGGTGTTAAGCCCTTGAGCGGTGTGCGACACACAGCCCCTAGTGAAGACTCCGTCCTGCGCTCCAACCCCAAATAAAGACATAGGCCGGTGCATTGTTGTCGTCAGTTCTCCTCCTGCTGTCAGGGCAGGGAAGATGAAGCGTTTTTCTGCGGCTGGTGTTTAGGAAAGCCTTCCAGAGGACAGAGTACTGGCAAATGTTTGTATGATGTTGCCGTGCTGTATTATGATCATGGAACGAGCTATGGAAAGTGTATTTGTCTTACCTCATGCTGTATCAAGTCAGGGAGATGGGAATGTGAATCCAATCAGGATTTCAAACTGGTTTAAAACTATATAATGTTACTCTAAATCTCTGTATGTGTTTATGTGATACAGGCTGGTTTTTTTCTTATATCTTGGAATGAATCTCAATCAAAAATGCAGTATTTAAATGTACATAAATGAATGTATTATAGTAAAGAGTTGGTAGAAGGTGGTGGTGTGTGGTGTAGATATGTGTAAATACAGTCTAATAATTTCAAAACGTGAACCAGATTAAACAGAAGAGGCTCTATAGTTTACTCTGTCAGCAGTTTTCAGTTCCCTGTAGGAAGTTAAACAGAGAATATCTCGACAAACAAAGCTGTGCTATGACTTAAGTGGTTATGACTTAGGGTGGTTTTGAAGGGTCAGGGACAGAGCTCAGCAACAGGAAGTTAAACTGTCTGTATCTTGGATCTGTTGAAGGTTGTGATGAAGTTCTATACGGCTGAACCGATTTAACATCGAGACACCTGGAGTATAACACTTAATAATCCTCAGCATTTTTCTGACAATGTTTTAGCCTTAATCTCAATACCATTACATTGAGATTAGAAGGTTGAGATTAAATTATCTTTTCAAAGATTCTCAACAGTTATTAATCTCAATGCAATACGATTAATCTCAAATGAGTTGACGTCTTGTCAAATTCCTTCAAAAGCGGATCTATATTATTGTCTAATGAGCTGTGTTAAGCAACAAACACATTTCTGATGATAAAAAAAAGGATTAAGATGTTTTTCGTCTATTGTGCAACCGCGAAAATCTGATTTAGAACATGAAGCAGTTTGTGAAGAGATGAGTGCTTTTTAATCCTTCTTCTCAGAGCTGCTTGCTTTCATTGTAGCTGTGGGATTGATGTACACCTGGAACATCACTGCAAATACCCAGCTGGTATGACTGAAACACCTGCAGGTAGAGAACCACTGATATGGAATAAATGCAGTTAGCTGTATTAGGCTGAGATTTACTATGACTTTTCCCCAAAATCATATTATGGCATCTATTTGCTTGCTATTTGATGATAATGCTGGATTATTGTTTGGAGATGTAATTTTCAGTGTAAATGCAGATTTAAACTAAAAAACAAATCATTTTGTACCTCAAGCATATTGCCCAGTTAAATAGACTGTGTATATATTTGTATAATACTTTTCCTTTTGCGAGTTTCTGTTTATAATTTCTTGTGTTTTGATCCAACTTTGTTGACTGACTTTTACACTCTCTTCTTCCCAGTCAATCTGATCTGGCCATGACCTTTGTCTGACAAATCGTGTTGTTGCTGTCACACCTTAAAACAGTTTCTTCCTGGGCGGCTGCCAGCTGTTGTTTCAGCTCTGTTTCACCTCCACCTCCAGTGTTCATCAGTCCAGGACGTGGGATCCTCAAGAGGTTGTGCTCCTGGACAAATGAGACAAATCTAACTCTCTGTCGTCATCAAAGTCACCTCTAGATCCTAACCATATCATATTCCTAACATGCCCTTTGTGAGTTTAAATCCCATGAACACCATACATTCACAATAGAGTCTAATTTCTAAAGACTTTCCATCCCTGCTTTGCATTTCAATCGTGCAAATCAATAAAGACAAAAATAATACTAATAACCTAATTTTTCCTTTTAATTGTTTTTTGTTCATTGAAAAGTAAATAGAGGTGTAGAGTGAGCACATGATAGCTAAAATCTTACGTTTACATCTTGTTTTTTCTCCAAACACAAATTCAACAAATGAACTTTTTGAACAGTGATCTTTCTCCGCTGTCTATGTTGGTGAGAAAATAAAAATATTTTAAAAAACCTGAATTCTCACTGCAGGTATTTCCGTTTTTTGGAGTTGTTTATCTCACAGAAACCAAAACCATGAAACGCCTCCCACCATCATTCTATCAAATCTTAAAGGCAGCTACACACAAATATCTCAAAGTCACATGTGTCGACAAAACATCTGCATCAACTCAGCCACAATCAGATTTCTTTTTTTTTTTTTCAAATACGCCATTGGATTTTCTGAAATCCATTGAAATCCATTGAAATCCAAATACATTTTTTAAAATATTTAAATACCAAAATAATCATCCTTTTAGAGGAAGCATACGCCATTCCGCACATTCATATCAACTTAAACTTGATTTCAATGCAACATGGGTCATTTTCAGCAACTTTTTCCTTTTAATTTGCTTTGAAAAATCATATATTTGTCGGTTTGCTTCCTTGAACCATCGGTGGTAATCACTGAGCCTCAACACACATCTATTATTATCATCATCATCATCTGATCTTTCGGATCATGTGTTACTCAATGACATTTCCTCGCACAGCGGATGACAGACCAGATGTTGCGACGGTCTCTTAGGAAATCCTTCATCTGCCACAAAACAAAACCTCAGTAAGTGCAACCAAAGACAAAGAAATGAGGTCACTAAGCTGGGTTACCATACATTACATTTTCTGGTAGGCACAAAGTCAGAGGAATAAGCCTTCAGATAAGACCGGTATGACCAATTTAAACATCCATTCCAAAAGAAGAGTTTCACTCATTAAGGCGTACCTAATGGTGTTTTAAGACCTTATTATATTCAAGAGCTATCGCTGAAATAGCTCAAAATCAGAATGATAAAAAGGACCATTGTCACATTTAGCAGAGAGTATGTTGTCATATCATGGTTGTTGGTTTTCTACAAAAGAAACTTAAATTTATAACTAAGCCCACTTTTCCTTTCTGCCCTATTTCACATTTTTTCCCTCAAGACTTCCCTCCAGTTAAAACAGCTACAAGAAAACATTTGCATGATTAATAAGTTACATTTTTATACATACACACAAACGGGGGGGGGGGGGGGGGGTTGGAAGTTGCTTGGCACATTCTCATGCTTGACCAACCTCCTACAATCTAAATAACTATACAAGACACAGTAAAACAGGTCTTCTCACACCACCGTCTCCCTGTTCAGTCATGAGGCTTCAGCATGTCCAGGAGATGAAACAAGACGCCTGCATGGTCATGATTAACACTTCTCTGCATAATCATCCTGCAAAAAGGAGGGCATACGTAACCCAATGCACTAAGTAACATGAAACAGTTCAGCTGTACACATACAGTATCTTCACATACTGATAAAGTTTAGATTCATAATTTAATCTGTATATATTGTATCTTAATATGCTGGTACCAGGTATTCACAGTGACTCTAAAATAAAATTACAAGAGGAAGTTTGTACAAGAAACAAGAGTCGGTGTGACTGACGAAGGTTTGGCATCCCTTTTTGTCGGAGTATAGAGTTTGTAGTTGGAGATTAATTTGTGGTCAGTTCCGTTGGATTTCAGTGGGATTCAGGAGAGCTGCCTGCGCTTTTTCGTTGGCACTGAGGAGAAGCAGTCCGACTCCTCTGAACACACGTTACTGCTGTTGGCGCCAACAGCAGTGGACACAAAAAGGTGAGGTAAAGGTGGTGGCAGGGGGATGAGATCTTATCCACCTTCTTATGTTGAGCAAGACATAACCTGGGCTAAATAAGGTTCACTATGTGCCCTGTCCAGTGCTGATTTTACAAAAAACAAAAAGTGCAAGAACGACACAGAAACACATACAAACACACATCGGGGTGGAATGGTAAGATTTCACCAAGTGTCCTTACCGCTACCACTCATAAGCCATACTAAACAATTACCCAAAATAGTCACTGTAGACATCCGCCAAACACAAAACATATTTAAATACAATATCCTGCATTTTACTATTAGTTCAAGGTGTTTTATTCTGACACCTAAAGCTATGTTGCCAGCTGAAAGTAAAAGCTGCCTTTTGGCATTTTGTGGTTCAGGCCAGTAGGAGGAGATCTTCTACAGTATGGCTGCTACAATAGTGAGGTTAGAAGAAAACAGTTACAGGCAATCATGGAAGGAAGCTGAAGCAGCTCTTTTCCTGCCATTGTTTGCGTTTTCAGGAGGGGTAAAAACCCTTTTCAGTATCCACTTTTACACTGTTTTCAACATACTTCCAGGAGGAACAAGCATGCTCAGTTCCTTTTTTATGACATTTCCAGGTTACATCCCTTTTATGTAAGGGTTTTAAAATACTTTCTCCCTTAAAAACTCCAGTGTCTTAAATACAGTACTACTGAGAAGTGAGGAGGGCAGAGAATTATGTCCTTACGTAACAGGCCTTGCTCTAAGGCCAGTCAGTTGGCATCATTACATCTTTTGAAGTAGAAGGCTGCCTACGGGCTTGTCATTGTCATCTTCCTCCTTTTTTTTTTTTCTTGTCTTGTTTTGTTTCAAGGCCTTCCACACTATCAGCGCCGGGCAGAACCACACTCAGACATTGCAACTAAACGTCTGGCAGAGAGGATAGCGATACTACTGTTCACATATATTATTGGTGATACAGTATATATACGTATATACACACTTTTGGTCATTTCAGATAAGACACCACCAAACATGCTATACAGTGTCTCTCAGTCTTAATTGCCACTTTTTATGCAAGTGCTATTCAGCCCAGCTTGTCAAGTATTTGAAGCAAGGAGGTACAGTAAGAGATGCACACATACAGACACACACACACACGCACGCACGCACGCACACATGCGGCACACATCCACACACATACTGTATCATATACACCAAGAGAAGCACTCTGGCATAGCATGCCAACGTAGCAGCCTGAGAGCTGCACATCAGTCAGTCTATGAAGGTCATGGGATGTTGGAAATGTCATTTTGTTCTTTTTCATGGGTTGATTTGCATACTCCCTCACCAAAAGGCAGGTCCATGATTCAGGATTGAGACTGTGGTTACACACAGATTGAACAGGATGCGTGTGTGTGTGTGTCTGCCTTTGCAAATATTTACGAACAAAATCTGTCTACTGAGCGTACGAGCACGTTGTACGACTTGCATCTTTCTGCTGATTTGTGTGTGCAGCGGTGAAGCTAACAGGGCTTGTTGACGTTGCACAGCAGCTCGGTGACTTTGATGAGGCGAGCCACTGTGCTCTGCGACTCCTCCTGCAGCCGCTGGTTGTTCTGCCTGAGGCTCTGCACCTCGGCCTGCAGCACCGCCTTGTCCTCCTTCTCCTGAAAGACATCGGCACACAACAAAACAAAAGCCGTCGCTCAGATCGCTGTGGCAGGAACGGGAGGGGAGCGACAGGTACAGCGGTGGCTTTAAGGAAACTAGTGGGCACACATAAACACAGAGCTTGAAATAAAACAACACAAACAGTGTAGAGAAGCACATCACGCTGCAGTGGGGGAAAAGAAACAATCCACTGAACTGATCATTTCTTTGACAGAAAAATCCTAGTTCAGAACTTCAATTATAGTCTGTAGTCTCAGTGCTTTGTGGTCTGGCCTGCTGGTCAGACTGAGTCAGCAACTAATCACCTATAATTGGTCAAAGGTCGCAATTAATGATCATTTTCATTATTGAATAATCTATTTTTAAATAATTGTTTGACATATATAATGTAAAAAATATAGTGAGAAATGCCCAGAGCCCAAGGTGACAGATTTAAATTGTCTGTTTGTTTGACCAACAGTTCAAAACCCAAATATAGTCAATTTTCACATTTTAGACGCTGGAACCAAGAATGTTTCATTTGTGCTTCATATATATGACAGAGAATTAATCAGTTTATTTTATCTGTTAATATAATTATTCTTAGTTATTGTTTGAGCACTAAATGGATACTTTATCGTTATTCTTGAGAGTCCATAGACTAAATGGTATATTTATATATGTGTCGAGACACAGAGACATATTCACTATTGACCAAAGATTGGACTTTGTTTTGAGAATTTAGTTTGTTTTCTGTCGAGCGGCTGCTTCCGAGATCGAGATTAAGAATAAGGAGTTCATCACATACAGTATTCTTTGACATCTACATACACGGATCAGCAGAAAATAATAAAATAATGATAACAGGAGTTGTCGGACATACATTTTTGTAAGTATGATATTGGGGGATTTACAAATCTGAAATGCTGCTATACAAATGTCCAACATTAGGACTAAATTAATGAATTAAATAAATGTAAATGTGTTTCTGTATTCAGTGCATCCACAGTGAGCCCGCTGTGATTGAAATGGCCGAATGGACGGGAGGATTTGTACAAGTGAACAAAAGCCTGCATCAGAAAATACAAATAATCTCGCAGCAGCGACAGAAGCGGAACAATTTGAATACTTTTTCCTACCTGCTGACTCTCCCATGGAGCTCACTGAAAATATTATGACAGAGAAAAACGTTCATGAAAGTCAAAGCACCTTTTGCAGGTCATCCTGCAGCCTCTTCAGCATGGACTCCAGCTGCGACACCTTCTCTTCTAGGTGGCCTGGAGAGTCACTGCAACAAAAGAGAGGCAGTGACACTTTGTCAAAATCAATTATTGTAATCAGAGAAAGTCTAAATGAATTTGTTTTCCCAGTCACAAATGAACAAGATGAATGCCTTCACTGGTGTATTTTATAGGAAGGTTTTTCTTGTGTTCCTCTCCTGTTATAACACCGCCCTCATCTCATTTCAGCAAGTGAACTGTTTCACTTTGCTTGATTGATCTTGACTTCCACTGTGGCAGCTTCAGAGCTCGAGGCATCGTCCCTGCTGCCTTCAGACCTGTAGTACTCAGAGATCAATTTACTGTAATTGCTAGGGTGACAAGCAGACCCAGCGAGAGAAGTCATCCCATGATGCATTTCGTCTGATTGCAGTTATATATAACGAACGCTTCTGGTGATGTGAACAGCATGATAATGCTATTTGAGGAAAGAAGATGGCATTGACGTCAGATGGTTTGGGCACAATAGTGCGTTTTGAGTTTGATATTTAATTATATGACCATTTATCTTATCATTTTGGTTGGTTTGAAGCTCATTTGTGCTATTTGTAGACATAATTATTTTTGAAGGAGGTTGGCAGTGTGTTTTTTATTGTAGTCAATTATCTGAATCTCTCTTTTATTCAACGGATATGTACTGAAAAAGGAAATATATATATACTGTATATATTTTCAACATGTGATCATTTTTCACTAACAGATGCCAATGAGAGGTGATATGGAGTATTCTGTGTGAGTGTCTTTTATAAAACATTTTACACGCTCGTTGGAGACAAATTGAAAGGTGTCATCAATACTAACTACAATACGCCGGGGGGCATGAACTGCACCTGTAAAGACTTCCTTTGAAGAAAAGCTTCACATTGGTGTTTTGCTTTTTTTGGCCAACAGTTCTGGACTTTGTATGTTCAGACACAGCATGGAGGACTAAAATAAGGTGGGCAAGGAGCTGGACAAAGTGTAAAAGAGAAACAAAATGGATCAGAGTGGGATCAGAAAGATGACAATGACAGTGAGTCAGACAAGCTGTGTGCGCGTGTGTGTGACTGCATGCGCATAACTGCAACACTAAGTCAGCAAGAGAGCTCTCTTGATGGGGGAGAGAAACCATCCCATTGACTCACACAGTTGGATGTTGCCGATAAAGTCTAAATAATTGAGAGAGAATAAAGAAGTAGTGAAAAGGGTTGTGTGCAGTGATTCTGACAAAAAAATAAGAGACTAACGACAGAGATATTGAGCTGCCTGCGTCACCCCGAGTGTACTGTATAGCAACCCACCTCTCATTTGAGTCTTTCAGCTTGCCGTCTGTCTGGTCGGCTCCTGCTTGGGAGGGGTCTCCAGCTTTATGGTCTGTGGTAATGAACATTATCCACATTAATATCATTTAATACAGCCATACATACCATAATGAAAAGAAAGAGGCAGACAAAGACAGGAGATGCTCACTTTCTCTCAGTATAGAACATACTGTGATTCATACACTTATCTTCATATAGAGCGCAGATCCATTGCACTCATATGTTGTTGTTTTTTGGCCAAATTTATGTGGCCAAATGGACATTAAACTCATAAGTGATTGGTGAACATCTCACTCCAAAAACAACACGCTGGGAAGATTTTCTACAAGATTTTGGAACCAGGTGATAAGGCCTGGTTCACCTTCTTTTCAGTTCATCCCAAAATTTAGAGTCTAACTTGAATCTTATGATTGTGGAACAAAAGTCTGGATCAAAAAATGATTTGTGATGGTGCTAACCACTATGGACAGCTTGTTATCTTATTTTATATTTACAGTAAGTGACGTGTGCATAAGTAAAGAGCTCCTCACCCTCTCGGGACAAAGCCTCCAGGATGCTGTGGCAGGCCGTGGCCAGGTCAGCGATGGACTGCCACTCCTCCTCAGTGGACTCTGTCGTCTCTGAGAGAACTGAGAGAAAGGAGTTTAAGATTTAACTCGCTCTACAGTAACAAACTCGGTCTACAGTAACAAAGAGCCACCACTGGGGGGTGCTGCTGGTCAGATTCAGGGGCAGAATGTAGAGGCACAAGGAGGAAATGTTATAATGTACTGTATGTCATGTGCCTGCAGGTTTCACTGAATTATGTTTCTGACTTTCTAAGATCTTTTTGACAGATCAGTTTAGATTTAACTCAAGGCAGCATACTAAAATACAAGACAATGACATCAATAAAATTAATAACAGAATTTGGGTAAATTATTACATGCAAATGTAATAAAAACTTTGACAAAAAGATCTAATGAGTCCTTGAATTTGATCTTTTCGTTTGAAAGTTGTCATGCATTTTAACAGACTCCCTGCGAAAGAACGTGATGTGAAACAATCAGAGTCGTCAGAGGCCGCCCCCGCAAAAATCTGAAGAATCAGATGAGAGGATGAGCAAGTGTGCTCTTATGGCAGATAAATGATGAGTCTCATAGTCTCAGCGGAGGCAGAGCAGATGGCGTAAGAGGGGCTCCTTGATTTGAAGCTGCCTAAAACTCCACCCCTCCCACTACCCATCTGTCCCCCTTTTATCCCAGCCCTGGCAGGGGGTGGCAGCAGAGCAGGGGTGATATTAGATTAGCGGGATAGGGGGCAGCGGGGATGAAAGAGGAGGGACAAAGGGGATGCAGTGGGGAGCAGAGGGAGGATAATGAAGAGAGGGGTTTAAGGCAGAAACAAATCTGGAAAAAAGGATTTTGGGGCTTAAATCAGGCAGAGATGATTTGCAAACATGTGTAATTGTTCCATTTTGGCATCATTTGAGCAGTCGTGTCAGCTGTTGTGTCTGAGAATGGAGCTTTGTGTCGAGTCCACGATCAGGGTCATAATATCTCTTTGTGCTCTTTGTCTCGTAATTAATCGACACACATTTCATTTTTTATTTAACATGCTGCCATTTTAATATTTACGGTATTATACATATATAAATATATTATAAATATTATATTATATATATATAAAAATATAAATAAAGAATTAGCAGCAATAGGGAAGTACTTACTCTTGGTGATGGAGTTGTGAAGACTTAGGGCTCGTGAATTTCTTTCAGCTCGGTCTAAACATGACAACCGGGAAGACGAGTCACTCACTGAAGCTTTGTCATCACCGAACTCAGCGGCCATGAACTGAAGACATACGAGACAGAGATAGAGGGGAAACAACACTGTCAGAGAGCGGATGGAGCGCGCTGGGGTGAGAAACTACTCAGATGTCCTCTCGTCTCAGTCTGTCACCTGTACGTCCTCCAGGGGAACCTTGGGTTTGACAGTCAGGATCAGATCAGGTGTGGCGTCCCTCAGCTCGTTGTCATAGATGTGGCATTCCCCCTTCAGCCCCACGTTTTCGTACACATGCCTGTCCAGACCGAGAGGGAGAAACGTGATGGTGGTGGTGGGGGGGGGGGAAACAAAGCAAATCTGTTGTTGATGCTTTGTGACATTTTTTTATCCAATCCAGAGGTCAAAACAGAAACTGGAGCACTTCGACAAGCAATCTCCAGGATGGCTTAGGTTTAGGCCTGATTGAGTTTGCAATCCTGCACTCACAAAATCATCCATCAAAAATATCATATCTGATGCGGCTTCGGTCAGATGATTTGCGTGACGATGAAAAGCAGTCAAACTCATTTTGGTGAGCAGCAGAGTTTAATATTATCCTCATGAATATTTTCTTATGCACAATTTCTGCTTCAAGCTGTTGTAGCTTTTTGGAGTTCTCAGGGTGAAAATGATTTGTCTGGCAGACACAGACATGCACTTCTGCTTTTACAAAGGTGTTTTTCTCGCTCCTTGGAGCTTAATACTGGACATTCTTGTGTCTGTCAGACCTTGATACTCAGGAGGATGAGGGAATGCAATGCAGACCATGGTAAAAGGGATTTTTGATGACATTTACATGATTTCTTAACTTGAATCTAAAGAAGAAAAATGTAATCTATTGTAATTTTAATGTTTTACTGCTGAAGAGTTAAAGATCTGCTGCGCAACCGTCCAATCATCTATGTGAATTTTCGAATGTGAAACATAATTTAAAACCTTTTGCATTAAGTAAACACAGTTCAGTGAAGCAGAGTGACACATTGCTTGGCGTCCTTTCACCGTACCCTGTCCTTTGCAGGAAAAGTGACGCACTATGACTCTGAGATTAAATTGTGATGAGTCAGCTTCCGTTTGAGGATATTTTCAGCCATGCTGGATGATTTCAGAGCCTTTTTACCTGACGGTCTCCCAGTTTGCAGATGTTAAAGATCTCTCAAAGCAGCATTTTTTTGTTATTTATATTATATATCTCTCTATAATATCTTCAAAACACTCATATGTCAGGCTATGAGAGAGTGGCATGATCTTTAGTAACACTCACCCATCACACGAATCCCTGTAGGTCGGCTGTCTCTCCAAAGAGCAGCTGCGTGTGAGCTGCGAGCCGCTGCCCTCCTGGCTCTGAATGGCTGCTTGGTCCTGCAGAGAAGTGGCCCGTAGCAAAGGTAAGCTGGGCGGCGTGAGGAGCGAGCCATGACATCTCTCACTTTGCCCTTCATCACACGACTGTCCTTCGCCCTCTTCGGCCTCCACCTGCACCTCCAACTCCGTCATGTCCGCTTCATTGGCCCCACTCTCGTTCAGCTTTTCCTCCTTTGCTTCTCCTTCCTCCTTCTCCTCCTCCTCTTCTTCCTCCTCCTCCTCTTCCTCCTCGTCATCATCTTCGTCTTCCCTCTCGTCCAGTACCCAGGCCTCTCCAGACTGATCCTCGCCGGGTTTACACTCCGCATCCTTGATGGCTTTCTGGTACAGCTCGGAGAAACTTCTGCAGAACATAAATCAACAACATACTTAGTAAGAAGAGACACACACTTCACAACTCACAGCTCTCTTTTCGGCCCAGCCTCTCATCCCACTGCTGAGTCATAAACCTAATCTAGAAGCCAATAACAAAGATGAGGTGGACATATGAGGTGCTATATTTGCCTATTTTATCCCTTTGGGAACACAGAACTCTACTTCCTCTCAATAATTATGACATCTTTGTGGCAATTTGTGCTTTGTTGTCACAGAACAAGCATTTCAGCAATGAAATATAAATAAACCAGTGGGATCCACTCTAAAGCTGCAGAGGTGTCCACTTTAATATTGGTTTTATTTGTTTTAACAATTGTGTCCACAGCTGTTTCTGCCCTCTGTCTGACTTCAGCTGAGTGGAAAGTGTGCTGTTAACAGTGGGAGGCCCTTTGCCAGTGTGATTACAGATCATTAGAGGGATTGATTGGTTGTTGGCCAGCTGGTGTGACACTGATGGCAGGCCGTCATCAACAGCAGAGTGAGCCGTGACCCCAGAGTGTGGGCACCTCTCTTGTTTTCCTTAACCGACTTGTCCCACTGACCCCCTCCTCCTTCTTTGCTGTCAAAACTTTCTCTCACCGTCTCACTGGGACTATTATCCACTTTCTGGAGCACGCTTTATACCCATGAGCCCCTTCTCCAGTCTCTCCCTGTGTCTGTTGACCCATAAGTGCCCTTGTTAGTGTTCTCTTTCTCCCTCTCCTCCTCCTCGTATCTGCAGCTTCACCCACCTGCGTGGCTTGCCGTTCTCGTCAGGTGGGATGACAGTGATGTGGATCTTGTGCGCAGTGCGGAGCAGCCTGGTCCTCTCCTCGGGGCTCAGGTGAACCAGCGAGTGGCCGCACAGTCGCACCACGCGAGCCCACAGCTGCAGGCCTCCGCTCTCAGCGTAACAGAACCGCTGCAGCTCCGTCACGAAACCCTCCTCGTTCATCAGGAAGCCGGGCTGTCCGACGCCGTCGCGCAGGGGAGTGACCTCAAGAGCCTCACATCCCCGCGTCACCAGCTGCAGATGAGCGGAAGATGATGAATGAATCAGAAAGACATAAACCACCCACTGAAAAGTTTTAAATACGAACACAATCACCCACCTCTAGCCTCTGCACCACCTCGCGTATATCCTCCGCCTGGCTCTCCATCGCACTGATTGAAACAGACTCCCCACGCTCGTAGAAGATATCCAAGCAGGGCCCCCCCTCCTTAGTCTCTGTCACTGCCTTCCAGCCGATGACATCTCGACAGGAGCAGTTAAACACCACCCTGCGCGTGCACCTCTCAATGAGCACCACCGACTCAGCAGACACCCCGAGCAGACAGGGGAGCCTGAGTTCTCCAGCCTCCCCGTCATCTCCACCGTTGACCATCACGGCCCACACCAGCGCCCCAGCACTGTGCAGCTCGGCCCCTTTGGCGCCCTTCAGCTTGTCTTTGCGCTTGCCACCCAGAGAGAGCAGGGGGAACTTGGTGGAGGAATCGATGGGTGTGGTGGTCACATAGTTTTCAGCCAGGTCCTTCAGGTATTCCTGCCGTGTGCGGGTGGCCATGGAGCGGAACTTTTCTGACTTCTCCGCAGCGTTTTCGGCATTCACGGCCTTCGCCAGGAGAAAGTCTCTGAAAGCGGGAGAGCTAGGGAATCGAGCGCCCTTAGGGAAGAGTGGGCCAAATAATGGCATGTCTTTAGACCGTGTCACGGCCACCCTGAGAGGGAAAAGAGTGAAAAACAGGAGTGCTAGAGTAAGAGAGAGTGCAGAAGAAGCATTCAATCCATGTCTTGTTTTTCCGAGCTTGACTGTGGACTGTAGTGCTCTCCAGAATAACAAACATTTACACTGAATCTGCTGCAGAGGAGCACAGATTAGTGTTTCCTCCTGAGCGGACCCATAACTACTATGATGTATGAGACCCATGTGTAAGAGTGCACATAGTAACACCCATCTTTACATTGACTTACATGCATATCGTGAATGACGTGGTCAGTAAAATTGTCGTTTTTTTTGTATTTTTCTTAAAGCCCAGAACTTATTTTAGTTCACTACTTCCTATGACACATAGGATGACCATGAATTTATTGTCTCAAGAAACTTGAGGGTGAAAAGAGATGTATTTATTTACAGCATAGTGGAAGAGGTATGATCAGACCTGTAATAGGTGTTGTCAGTGCAGGGCTCATGGACCTGAACGATGATGAAGACATGTTGGAAATGGGAGCGGATGGACTTTGGCGTGAAGGGCAGGGTGCCCGGCTCCTGGAACACGATCGTCACAATGTCGTTACCGATGTGTCGCTTCCTCAGCAGCTGGAGAGGCAAAACAGAAACACAAAGAGATTTATTTAAGAAGCGGACACGAGTCATTTTAGTCAACGAACCAGATCTCAGTTTGCCATGTTTTATATCTCAAGAATCTACAAGAAATGTTTAAGAAGCAGCGAAAGACATTACCTTTAATGCTGTTAATTGAACTAAAGGCTAAGTCAAATTAAATTAATAGTAAAATAAGCAACTCTAAGTGTTCTCTGAAATAAGCTTGTGTGTCCATGATCTTGCTGTTGTTGTTAGCACAACTCAATGCTCCAAAATTACTGTTCTTGGGAAATTAACAAATGTTGCAACTTTAAGTTAATTAATTATACTTCTTTATGACAAAGAAAATAATTTTTCTTACAAAATAAAAAAAACTAGAACTTTTAAAAAACAGCTTAATCAAGATATTATTACATCACAAACTGTTGCTGCCAAAAAGCAGCAGAATGTAAGGGCTTCGTCACTAACATGTTTTGTTTCATTTAAACATTTAATCTGTCTTCACATGTCATGTCCAGTCTCTTTGGTGGCAGCAAACAGGCTTAAACCACAAACTTCATATAAAGAGCTGACAGTCAGCCTGACTGAGAGGCGCCTGTGAATACCTCCATGGTGGGAGTGAACACTGGGGGCAGGATTTTTATGTCATGCTTGTTGCGGAGTACAGAAGCTTTTTCTAAAGCGTTTACAAAAGCATGAAGTCTGAACAGAGATGGGTAACGAAGGTTGTACCAAGACTGATGCAATTCTATATTACGAATAGACGTGAAACGTTTGAGAAAACTTGGTATTGGAAAAATGGTTCGGCAACACAAAAGGTAGGAGAAGGAAATCAAATATCAAATCTCTGTTGAAATATACAGTTGTGTGAAAAAGTGTTTGCCCCCTTCCTGATTTCTTTGCATGTTTGTCACACTTAAATATTTCAGATCATCAAACAAATTTAAATATTAGACAAAGATAACACAAGTAAACACAAAATGCAGTTTTTAAATGAAGGTTTTTATTATTAAGGGGGAAAGAAATCCAAACCTACATGGCCCTGTGTGAAAAAGTGATCTGTTCGTGACCTCAAGCTGAAGCGCACTTGGGTTCTGCAGCAGGACAATGATCCAAAACACACCAGCAAGTCCACCTCTGAATGGCTTAAGAAAAACAAAATGAAGACTTTGGAGTGGCCTAGTCAAAGTCCCGACCTGAATCCGATTGAGATGCTGTGGCATGACCTTAAAAAGGCGGTTCATGCTCGAAAACCCTCCAATGTGGCTGAATTACAACAATTCTGCAAAGATGAGTGGGCCAAAATTCCTCTACAGCGCTGTAAAAGACTCATTGCCAGTTATCGCAAACGCTTGATTGCAGTTGTTGCTGCCCAACCAGTTATTAGGTTTAGGGGGCAATCACTTTTTCACACAGGGCCATGTAGGTTTGGATTTTTTTCCCCCCTTAATAATAAAAACCTTCATTTAAAAACTGCATTTTGTGTTTACTTGTGTTATCTTTGTCTAATATTTAAATTAGTTTGATGATGTGAAACATTTAAGTGTGACAAACATGCAAAGAAATAAGAAATCAGGAAGGGGGCAAACACTTTTTCACACAACTGTATATGGGTTGTATTTTTACCTGCTGCGTGTTGTTGGCTGTGTACGGCAGCATAGTAGACACGTGAAACATAATCTCATAGTCCTGGTAGCGCGTGTAGAGCGAGTGTGTCCCAGTTGAGTCCGCTACACAAGCAAAAGACAAACAAGAAACACGCATCACACAAAGAGAAAGACGGATAGGGATTCAGCAGAGTCAGTCAATGTTTCTGAAGGAAAGACTAAACTCAAATTGTCACATTCAGGGTCCGTCTGATTTGCTGTTCTCTGCTGCTCACTGAGGGGAAAACAGCTCATTACTCAGATTACATGCGGCTAGATAGGAGTTTTCTTAGGCTTTCAGTGGTGCACTGATGCCCTTCGGATAATGGTCCTGCCACAAGGTGAGATACAGCCAATAGATGCGGGTGTGGTGCATTTATTTCCCCACAGCTCACTCTTGTTGTCCAGCTGAGCTCTGTATTTCTCCCAGCCCTTCAGCCGCACACGCTCCCCGAGCAGATCCAGGAACTCTTCAAACGCTGGGCCCGAGCTCTCGTTGTTGTACATGTCTTCCTCTGAGCTCTGCCCGGCCCGGCAGTACATCACCCCAACCTTTCGCTGGAAATTCAGCTAGAAGACAGAGAAGCACAGAGTCAATAATTATCCTGTCAAGACCTTTCACCTAATGAGGCATCCTGATCATTTGCCATCTTACTTTACAGCTACAAAGCTTGTCTGAGAGAATTTATGCTGTAAAATGTTATACACCTGCACAGCACACATTACACTATTAAACCTCCTAATCCCCTTCACGTTTCATGCTTCAAACAGAGGATTTGATTCGTCAAAGTTGTTTGTTCCTTTTCTGAAGTAGCTGACTTCAAAGGTGGAGCTAGTGGTTAACTGGTGTGTGTGGGTTTAAATGGTCAGCAGCTTCTGCTAAATAAAGTTACAATGAATGTGATGGGGCTTGAATGTTTAAGCGATCAGCAGGAAATGATCTAAGATCATTCTGGTCACAGTTTCTCAAGTGAACAGTCACCGTGGTGGCAGAGGAAGAAGAGAGAAGAATGAACAGATATAATAAGTGCACTTTCACATCTAAAAACACCCGATTGATCACTGCGGAGGTGTAGACTTCAGAACGTCAGCTTTAGAAAAACATTATTTTGTGTCTGACCTCTGAAAAAGAGCCATTTGCTGCTATTGGTCAGTATCCGATGTCCTGAAAAGCTTTCTCTCAGACAGTCTTTGGTGTCAGCAGGGGCAGCCTTACTCACCCCCTGTTCGTCCAGCTTCAGCAGGGTGTCCCTGACCTTGGGGGAGTTTGAAGCCAAGCGAAGGCAGTGCAGGTTCAGTTCAGGCATGATGAACTCCAGCAGCCTCTTGGGAGACAAGCCTCTAGGGGTCGTGTGACGAGCGGCAGAAGGGACAGACTCCTCCAGGATGGAACCTCGCAGAGTCTTCATCTGGGGAGACGATTCACAGGCGTCACATCCTGGAAAACCAATTTCACATACACTGAAATCGTGGAGAGCTTTGAGGATAGAAAAGCGGCAGGTTTACCTCTGTGGTGCGAAAGATGATTCTGTAATTGTACTGAGCGCCGCTGGATCCGTCTTTCTCCTCTCGGCGGAAACTGATGGCCACTGGGCCGAGGCGGTCGTCCATGCCGAAGAAATTCTGGTGTTCTGCGGTGACAATACAGTCAATTTCAAGTGTGACAGCATTGGGGTTCAAATATAACACTCTAAGAGAACTGTATTAAAATGATTAGGGTGTAGAGGGGGGGCTGAATCTTGTATTTTTCTATGTGCAGTCCATAAATTATAAGATGAGAAATTTAAAAAATTGTGCCATGATAAAGACTTGTTCAGAGTTGAAATGGGATGGTTCATCAATGATTGAATAGCACCACAGTGTACATCCACTTTGTTAAGCTGGACAGTAATGCTTTCTTAACCCCGTCATATTATTCTCTCTATTGACTTCCCATAAACAGTCGAGTCAGACAAAATAGAAGTTTCACTACACGTACCTTTCATGTGGAAGTATTTGCGATAGTAATGGGCTCCCAGATCTGCATGCTCTATAAAGTAGTTGCTCTTGCCCTGCTGTTGGACGTGACTCTCTCTGGGCTCCTCCAGGACCGACACTGCATCGTTGGGGGTTCGCATGCTCGACCAGAGTCCCCGCCTCCCCTGGGATTGACCGAGACCCACCTGCTCTTCTCCCCCCGTCTCGTTGCGGAAGTGGGGGCAGCTGAGCAGGAGCTCGTTATCATTGCCATCACCCTCGTCCAGCAGCAGCGACTGCTCGGGGTCATCTGCATTCACCCCGTTGCCTCCCCCGCCCTGTGCAGGTGAGGACGGGGTGGCTTGGGAGAGGGGGCGCAGCTGGGAGGCGGCTGAAGCCCCAGAGGTGATATTCTTTTTCCGTCCAATGCTGTCTCTGTTTGTGGCCGCCTCAGTGAGGTCAAACAGGATGCTCTGGACGTCGTAGTGGGCAAAGTTCCTCACCCAGGCTCCGCCCCCAATGTTATCATTAGGACCTGGTTGAGGGATCTGAGGGGGTTTAGTCTTCTTACTTAATCCTTCGGGCTTCGGCGGCTTGGCAGGTTTTGGGGAGTCCCCTGTGGACACAGACAGACCACGAAAGAATCCATCGGGCTCTGGAGGGTTGCCCTGCAGGCCCAAAAGCAGGAAAGGGTCTTTGAAGCGTAGGGCATTTGGACTCAGGGGCCCCTGATCGTCTGTCCTTGGCTCCTGTGCTTGAGTCTGTCTCTCCAGCGAGGACAGGCTGCCGTATTCCCTGTGTAGCAGCACACCCCCATCACCCTGAGCCCCCGCACCCACCTTCTCACCAACCACCCGAGCTGCTTTCCCCCCTGCCTTCCCGGAGGAGTCCAAGTCTCCTAAGGTTACATCGCTGTTACTTCTCTGCATGATGTGGCCGCGGCCCACCGACCTCAGCGTCAGCCCCACGCGGCTCGGAGTGAGGCTCTCATCCTCAGCTCCATCAGCCTCCCTCCTCGGCGGCCACTCCACTCGACCTGCTTCCCGGTTGGGGTCAAAGTTGACGGTGGCAATAGGCGGCCGCATGTTCTGACGGCGAAACTTGCGGATGAAGAGGTCATCTGACTGCATGGTGCCTGAAAACCGACTCCGGTCCAACAATCGTCTCTCCACTCTGGTCCAGAGCTTTCTGCTCTCCCAGTAAAATGTCTGTCCTGGTCTCTATGGTGCTGGTGTGAGACGGGAGCACTGCGCGCAAAGATGAAAAACCCCTCTGAGTGAAAGCAACAAATACAGTCCTCATTCACTTAAGATGGTTGAATTTTCTCAAACCTTGGACGTCTCTGTGAGGTGCCCCACTTTGTCCCAAGTCAAGTTGTTAAGTGTAAATGAAGATTGAGGAGAATATGCAGATGTGTCCGGTTGCAGGGGTCCGTCCCGGTGTGCAGATGTGTGTTTTGGTGGTGCTCATTCCTTCAGAATAAGGTCGAGAGGATCTTCACTGGAGCCGGAGTCCTCTTTGTATCAGAGGCTCTATCAACCTTTCTAACATGGCATCCATTCGTCTGCACTCTTCAGTGCCTGCTGCTTCCCTTTTGGTCAGGTCCACTCGCCACCTGCAGAAGAAAAAGAGAAAGAAACGTCTTTTGTTACCTCATCATTCACCCACACTGCTAATATCTTAATCGACAGCTTTATGTTCAGCCCACAGCAGCTTGTCAGTGAGGACACAGAAACACTTTGTTTGGAAGAAAAGATTTGACAAAGTATCGAATTTCAACAATAAAGCAGCAGGCAGGTCTGACGTCTTTTATTGTTGAGTAATGCCTTGTACCTCTGTTTTCTCTCATTATTATTCTTTCCTTTACACACTTTCCGTTCCAAAGTTCCACTAAATAGCTCCATCGCAGACTTAACGCTCACCACATCCAGCCTGCACACGCTCACAATAGACAGTATTAACACAGGGGAGGGGGCCTTCCTGGCTTACTCTGCCAACATACGAGAAATAAGTGTAAACTGTCTCCCACCCTCAAATAAGCTCACACACAAACACACAGTTTTTGTTATTCCCCTCCTACACCAGTATTTAAAAGAATATACAAAAACAACAGCAACAGACACATTGTAAATAACTTCCGATACAGTGGATCAGCTGTTATTATTTTCACAGAGTTTGAAGAGTACGAAGCAGTGTGCTTCCCTTTTTTAAAAAGTCCTTAAACAATTCATTGTTATGACTGCAACTTACCAACAAAGTGGGTTTAGTTTCAGGTACAAATCAGCTCGTTTCTGTCGCAGATGTCTTTAAACAAACCGAGCTGAACTCTTTTGTCGCTCTCAATAAGGTATGAGGCTTCTTCCTGTCTAGCTTTTCGCATGCATCTCCTCTCTCGTGCTTGCAGCCTAAAGAGCAGGTGCAGTGGTGCAGAGCTGCTACCAGAAAAGCTTCACACACACACACACACACACACACACACACACACACGCTATAAAAATGCTATAGAGTAAAGTGAGGAAGTCACAAGAAATCTTTGTTTCCCTTTCTTGCCTGCTCTCACACTCTCCTTTTCAGCAGATGTTTCCATTTTGCTGTGAAGAGAAAATGGAAACTGTTCACCAAATATGAAAGTTATCAGAGGTTATCGGTAGTTTAAAAGGCGTTCAGAGATATGCCAATGTGTGTTGAGGTGTTTACATACATTTATATAATCTAGAGGGGCTCACTGTCAGCAGGAAATGTTGCTGACTGCAGATAGTTTCTCTAAACGTGTTTTGTTAATACTGAAGTGGATAATGTCTGCTCCTCAAAAAGAGGGAAAAAAAGGCTTTGTAGCGCGCTATTATTTTATCTGCATTTGATCACTTTCAGCATTCTCCTCTGGGCCTGTTTTCTCATTATAGTCGGTAACAGCGGTGTTGGATACATGGGAGAGAACAACAGATATCCAAGTTTTTGTTTTGGAGCACTAAAGAAATGTATAAAAGCTTTTGTTCAAAACAACAACTATATATTATATTTAATCTGACGTTTCAACTTTTCACTTGTTTTCTTTAAAATAATAACCGCCCTAGTTGTGTGCCATTATTATTTTAAAGTCCCCAAAGAATGAGCAAACATGAATATTGTTGGAAGGACACAGTTTTCAATAGAAACAATACGTGTAACATTGGACTATAAAATTACTTCCATGTCTGTGTGAACCAACGTGAGGCTTGATTATGCTGTTTGCTTCCAATAATACAGGGAATTACTGATGACAACTCTAGACATTTCCCTCTATGCGTGGTTCCTCATCTGACACACTGAGCACTGGGTCACATAGAGAAGCCTCTGTGCACTGTCTGTATGGTGCCAGGGCTGCTGACATTAAAACCCTGCTCATGCTTCCTTCTGGGAACCTGCAAATGTTCTCAAGCATCATTACCCACGTGGGCACAAATGATGTTTGTTGACGCCTATCTGCGGTGATTAGGTGCAGCATCCACCCGATGCTGCACCTAATCATCACAATGCCTTGAAAAGGTGTGAGCAATCAATTTTCTCTGCTGTCTCAAAAGTGGGAGTGTAGATTATTGGCAGCATGTTTTCTTGAACAAAAACAGATCACAGATTGCCTTCATGCCGTTCCAACAGAAAGCTGAACTTCCAGGCTCGGGCAGAAACACTCTTGCTCTCCACCAACACAGAGCGCGGGGTTGAACTCGGACACTTATCACTCGCCGCCTTTGTACAAATCACATATTCCTGAGCTTCTGAAGACCCCCGGCCCATGAATCAGTCCTAGTTTCCATAGCAACCTATCTTGTGCCCCCCCCTCTATTGATGTGGTATCCAGACCACAAGTGCTTTATTGTTAACTCTGCTCAGCGGGTAAAATGGCTCCGATTTGTAAAACAAATCTACGACTTATATTTGTGTCAGTGACCCTGGTCATACAACCCTGGTCATGATTTAACTGCTTCCTTCAAAAACCTAGTTTAACACCAAAGTCAAGAACAGATAGTTTATAGATGTATCTATAGATCTATAGGACAATATAATTGTATAATTGTACAATTCAGCTGGATGCTTAGCCTAAAGAAACACATATAAAATCAAAAAACACAAGTTGAAGGTGGCACATAAATTAAAAAATACACTAGCATGATTTTTTGAGAACTTACAATGTTGAACAAGGTGAACATAATACCTGCTTGACAACAGCATGCATTGCCATTGTAAGCATGCTAACATGCTGATATTAGCATTTAGCTAACAGCACAACTGTGCCTCTAGACCACGGAACTGTGGTGTTATTCAGCCTTTCCGAGGCAATCGCAGGGTTCAATCAATCAATTATATTTCATAAAAAAAATAGCCCCTTACAATGTAATAGCCCCCCCGCATTCATTTCATCCTGACGTGTGGCGTGTTCTGTTTGTCAGACTTAAAAAAGTGTTATGTAATGTTACTCAGTACTCAGACATCAGTATCATCAATGCCCGTCCCCATTTCAGAAGCATCCTGTGGTCCAAGGATAGTCTCATAGAGCCGATAGCATAGCTGCAGACTCTTGGTCTTGTTAGTGTATTTGAGATCAAAAAGGGGCATAATACACTTAAATAGTGGTATCAAAAGAAAACTATGGCCTAAATGTTCTCAGTTGTTGCAGTTTTTTATGTTCCTAATTGGTCAGGACTGTAACTGTAACTGGCTTTGAAGAGGAACCGCACAGAACTTGGATCATTAAGGTATTTGCAAGATTCACGTGTACATTATCTGTCTGGTGTTTCAGCATCAATCTAGGAGTGTGATCACATTCTTTTTCATCTGTGTTTACAGACGTGTGGGGGTACTAAACACTCTCACTTTGAATCAGAATCAAGTGCAGAAAACAGAAAATGGTACTTAAAAGAAAGAGATTTTCTTACCATTACTGATGTGCGAAATCTTCAATCAAAACTTCACTGGCCCAGACTTTAAAATACATATGACCACCACATTGACACTGGCCTTCCTTTGAATAGAAACTGTCCTCTGTGTGTGTTACCGCTATAGAGAAGTGTGTGACATACCTAACATAGCAGCACAAAATGAAGAGGAACCAAACTGTTTTGTCCTTGCCCCCTCAAGTTTCAGCTCAATTTATTTGGGAACCAATTGTTCGTATTCTCAGTATATTTTCTGCTGCATGCACTAGCCTGACAATTTAAATGTCATTGTACACCCTCCCAACTCAAAAGGAGAACAGATTTTTTTTCAGTTAAACAACTACCTTTTGATCCAAAAAATACCCTAGAACAAAAATCCTCGCATAAATAATTGATAACCATCATAATGTTTTCCCAGGATACTTCTAGCTGATCAGTCTTACAAGTTTATATCAGTCTGGCTTAAACCAAACCCTAATATGATCACAAATGGATCACTTCGTAATAGCAGGACTGACTAAGTGGCAATAAAAAAATAATTGAAGGGCATTATGAAGGCTTGAGACAATAAACAGCAACGGGAAGCTCTTTTTTCCAAAGCTTTCATTGAATTCTGATTGCCTTTTACTCTGATGAAGCCACATCTTGCTGGTTTAAAACAGAACAGGACACAATATCATAACTTCAGTATGGATCGCTCAAAATACTTTGGCATGTTGAACTACAAGGGAACCTGTGCAATATCTGCATCTTATTTAAATATAGCTGAAAACAGCCGGACATTTAGGAAGATTAAGAGTATCATAAGTTGCATTATTGCATAATAAGTACATAATAACAAAACGGTATGTCACTTCATATATTGGTATCACTACTATTGACATTATTTTTATCAGATATCTGGTAGCAACACACACCAACTATACTTTCTCCTGCACAAGGAAGCAAACACTGCACAGTTAATGTTGCGTGCACTCCCCCACATTCACAGTGTGCACTTATTTCTCCCTGTCAGTCAGTGCAGCAGTTGATGAAAACCACGCGTGACCTCTGATGCTCCCTGAGCCACAACTCTACCGCAACATCAACTGAAGCTGGACTGCATAGCAGGGACCACTTAAACACGTTGTATTAAATGACTTTGAGGAGGAGGAACTGAAAAGAATTTGATGATTAATTCTCCATGATCTGGTTGTTTTGCCTTATACACTTCACTGATATTACCAGATGTCATCCGTGTCCCAACAGTCTAAAACAAATCAGTCACTCTCCTGCCGTTAATCCACACTGACTTAAGCTAATTCGCCACACAAATTCAATCATGGATCATAACTCTGACGTGTATTCAGGCCATTCCATAAAAGCAGATGTATTCTCCATAGTTTGCAGACATTGTTGGCTGTGCAGTTGTTGGGATCTAACTATATGGCTTCGACATGTGCTGTGGAACAAAGAGAGTCAGGCCTTCCCTTTTGCAAGAAAAGGTTTCATCCTGATTGTAGTTTGAGCACCAAACCCCAACTCTGAAGAAATTCACATTAGGGTGTGAGTTTCCTCCCCCCAAAAAAGTGAAGAAGCAAGACTTCTTCAGAGAGAGAGAGAGAGAAAGAACTTCCACTCTCCACCAAGCGCCTCGTTTGCTCCGGCCATAAGGACGCGAAAATCCCTGATCCAGACGAAGCGATTCTCTCCTACCGAGAGAACACCTCCCGCGGCCCGCAGCCGCGCTGCCTGAGCCCACCGAAGCTCAGAAGAACCCCTCAGAAGAACCCCCCCCCCCTCAATCACCACGATTGCATCGTACCGTAAGGCGAAATAGAGTCTGGGCAGAGTTAGAGACAGTTCATTTGTGTTTATTTTATCTTGTTCGTGTGCTTAAAGTACTGTTCATTTTTATAACGTGGTGTATGCTTAATAATCGCCGACACTGACGGTCGCCGAGATCATTGGGGTTGTGGAGAAGCTAGTGTATTTCATGCTACCGTGATCTGTGTTGAGCTAGCCGCAGTGAGGTCGAAGTTGCTTCTCATCAGTTCAGGAGGTCAGAACCGCCGGCTGAGACAAAGTCGCGGTTCTTGCTCCCCTGGCTGAGAGAGCAATCTTCCGTACTCCAGCGCAGCGCAGAGGATCTCAATGTTTTGTTTTATTTCATTTTGTTTTGTTCCTTTCCCTTCTCTTTTACTAACTAACACACACACACACACACACACACACACACACACACACACACA